TTTTTTTTAAATTTTATTATTATTTTTGTGTGCGTATACTGTCAAATCAAATCCAACTGGTACTGGAGGAGATTGCCTCTCCTTCTCCAACAGAGCATCAGGTGGATTCAAACCAAGGGCCTTCGGTATTGCAGCGCAACTTCTCGCCACTAGGCCACCAGAGCTCCCTAGGGTTTCCCTTAACTTCTGTCCTTTGTCAGAAGACATGTTAGTGGAGAAGTCAGAGATCATCCTAAAAATGAAAACCAGGAGCCAACGCCATTGAGTTGATTCTCACACGGACTTTATAGGGTGAAGAACTTCTGCAAGTCTGGAGTTTTTATGGAAGCGGTTGGCAACATCTTCTTCCTGTAGTGTAGTTGGGAGGTTTGAACTAGTGTCCTTTCGGATAGCAGGGATGTGTTCAACCCAGCACCACCAGGATGTCCTTAGGTCATTCTTGATCTTTTTTGTGAAGGCCTCAGACTAGATTCCCCTACATTAGTTGAGGGATCCATTGAGATTGTAGGTGAGGCAGGAAATACTACCCAAAATTTCATTTCCAGTTACTTTGTTCTGGGGCCGGGCGCCTGCCTCAACCCTGCCTTCCTCAAGGCCTGCCCGTCCTCACAAGTAAGATGGAGTGACTGGACGCCACCCCTGCTGAGGCCTTTTATTGCTCAGACAGCAAGCAGGGTGCTAACATTGTCCTGTAAGCAAGGGTCCTGGCTGGTTCTGGCTCTGCCCTCTCCCTGTTGTGGGATCCCTGAAGCCGCCCTGTGTCCGCTGGCCTTCGCCTGACGGTCGGAGCTGGGAGAGGTTTCCTGCTTACCGCTCACTACTGCTCGCTTTGCCGCCTTTATTCCCAGTCACAGGCCTGAGCCCAGCACTGCAGGTGGAGGAAAGTTCGGTTTTAAAAAGTGGTAACTAATTTGGCTTGAAATCTCAGGTATACCAAATCTGCCCTATCTATGACAATAACCCCCACATAACAGAATATTATTTAGATGTCAATAGCTTGAGCCCTCTTGCTTCAGACCCTACTTCCTAACTTTCTGTGTCACTGCCACCTGGGAGCACTAACATGGCTTGTGTCTTCCCTAACCTAAGCTGTAGACCTCATTTAGAGAACTAGACGGGCCTCTGTGTCACCAGCATAGACTGCCAACACTCAGCCATGTGGCCGTTTTTGTTTAACATTTTACAATTGAACTACTGAGTAATTGTCTTTTTCTTTTTAAAATTGTAGCCAGAATCCTCCAAAGGCTCTGAAAGTGCAGTGAATGAACTAAAAGGAATACTGGTAAGAACACGCCTGCTTGTTTTGTTAACAGGGAAATGAGAGGAAATGTTTGGTGATGTCTCTCTAAAGCATCGTTTTGGATATGTTTTCCTTCAATTTACTGTAAGCCTCATGTCTGGGGACAGTTTTCCTAAGAAGTCCTCCATCCCAAGTGTTCATATTAGATCAAATAACCCTTTGCTCTTCCCACTCTGAACAACCTCACCGTGACCAGCTGCGGACAGTGGTTTACATGGTCTCCAAAATCACTTCTCGTTTCTTCCAGTCCTGGGGTTTCCAGCTTGAAGACAAAGTGTGCTGACAACATGTGAAGATCAGTATATATTCATTCAGACCAGAAATAGATTTCTGAGATAGAAAATACTTTATTCTGGGGCATGAAAATGGGATTCTTAGCACCTAAATATAAATCTGAGCTTCTACTAATTATGTTAGGTCTCAAAGTTATAGGACTTTTTCACACAATTAAAACACAGAATCTGTGAGAGTAAATTATAGAATAAAACAGGTGTCCTGCTCTTAAGACTTCCAGGTTCATTTCCTAAGGGTAATTCCCATCCCTGGAGAACATGGTTACTGTCCATCCCTACTTTCTTATTTGTCAGTGTGCAAGTTTTCCCCAGTGGTCTGTTGGCCACTGCCATCTCGAGTTCTTGCATTCAGAGAAAACCTCACTTAGGAGATGGTTCAGATCCTAAGATCTGTGTTCTCAGTCCTGTGATGGTCCCAATGCTACTTATTATCTACAGTAAGTCAACAAACACAGGGGCGGAGGTGGAGATCTCCGTACACCCCATGTGCTGTTAATTGCGCTAATTATGCATTGCGTGTAGACATCCGCACAATGGCAGTAAACAGAATTATTTTCATCGAGCGTGTCTTTAAACAGTAGACTTGGCTCAGAATGGCTTAATTAGTTTGCTTTAGTTGTAGGTGAGTGGGATTAACACTGAAGAGAGGTGTAACGCTAACAGCGGTGGTCTCCCACCACGATGAAGTAGGAAGGCCATTGAGTGAGCCCCGTGGTTATTGTCTGATGGTTTCCTTCATCAGAAGATTTTCCTATCCAGCATTTGTATCAAGAACTTCCTATCGTTAGCGCCTTCTCTGCCTCCATATGACAGTTATGTCTCTAAAGGTAATTCATGTTCGTGAAGATGCCCCAGGGACACTGAATAATCTGGAATAAAGTTCTCGAGTGTCCGTGAAAGGAAAGTGGAGCAGAGATTGAACTTTTTCACATTTCACTTTGTTAGAAAAAAGTAGAAGTCCATATAAGAGCCATATGGCAATAGTTGATTCTCAGGATATCCCATTCCCATCATATAGTGCTGGAGGGTAGCCAGTTTACTGAATTACCTGCTTGATTTTTTTTTCCATAATACACAGTAAATTCAGGGTTTTTTTGGTTTTTTCTAATTAAATTTTATTAGTTTTAATGAACATTCACAGAGATTTTGGGTTTTCATTCATTCATTGTTGCACTGTTTTCTCCACCCTCCTCCCCAGTTCGTTCTTCTTTCCCCCCCCACGTCTGTTTTAATTGTCCAATTGCCACAGTGCTTGTCAAAGCCAGTTCTGATTAATCTCCTTTGTCAGTGTGTCCCTTGCCATTCCCTATCACTCCTCCCTGAGAGAGACTTCACCCTGATTCATAAGGAAAAGGGGATGGCGTATTCTCTTAGCTACTTCCTGCTGAAAAGGGACACTGTGGGTTTCAGGGTGAATGTCTTCTCTCACTACTCTAAAGGGCCCCCTTGGCAGTAGGAAACACATAGACTATTATGGAGATTGATTTTGGAATTTAGATGCACTGTTATCAATTGTGCTTAGCCGTACATGTTCATATCCTTGAAGATGTATCATGGAAGTGTGGCAGCCTAGAAGATACAAATTTAACTGACAAGTTAAAAGTGCATGAGTCAAAAATGGAAAAGCAATAATATTCTGAGTAGAGGTTCTAATAGTGGCACAAATCAAGTTACAGAGGTAAGGTGGTTCCATTGCCATCCTTACTCTAACTTAATTCTTTTTTTTTAATTTAAATTTGTTATTAATTTCAGTGAAAATTTACAGAGGCTTTGGATTTCCATTCATTCATTGTTGTAGATTGGTCCCCTCCCAAGGCTCCCCCCCACCAGACATTACCCTCTTGGAAAAGTAAAAGAAAAGATTCTTTCATTATTTTACAAACCCTCCCCCAGGTCCACTCCACCATGTTACCTGCTTGATTTTTAAAGCCCACATACACAATAATTTTGTTTTACATCAGAGAGAGAGAAATCTGTGACATAGATGTTTATGAGATAATGAATTGGCAAATTTTTTAAAAATTACTGCCCCATCCTCCTTGTCAAGAGATTGTTCTGCCTTATCTGGCACCAATGCCTTTTTCTGTTAATATTTGCTCTTTGCATTAATTATAAAGAAAATTCAAGATCATGACCTTCGCTCCCACTTTTCATTACCTGAAGGTGTTTGCCTTGAGAGAACACTAGTAACTGACTGTCTCCTAGAGCCAAGAGCATTTTATAAATTCTTCTAAGACAGAAGGGAACCCCTTAGGTTAGCCTGCCAAGCACAGGGGCCATTGTTGGTGTTTCTTGCTACAGTTCACACTATTTGAATTGTCAGAGTTCATCTCCAGTAAAGGATCCAACACCAGCCTCGCTCTGGTGGAATGTGAGAGAAAGAGGCTAGAAAGCATACAGGCTGTGCACTGAGGGGTGGAAAGGGCCTTTCTATATGTTGAACCAAGTGACACTGTTTCCTGTTCTAGTGTCAAACAGAGAGAGATCACTGGGGAATGTTAGCTGATGTAGAATGTGACCTGAGTTTTGTAAAGTGCATCCCCAGCTTGAAGATTCGACATTCTGGGAGTTAGTTAGCTCATGAACAGAAAACAGCTCTCTGGTTTAGGCAGCGATCCAAAACCTCACTCTGTTTAGAGTTGTACAGTTTGCAAAAGAATGTGCAAATCTCTCTTGACTCATCTCATTCCTCCACACCTGTGCTCGCTTAATTGTCAGCCTGCCGAACAGGTGGGGGCTTTGTGGGTGCCTCTTGCCGGAGCTCTAACTGAGGGTATCACAGTGCCACCCTTTTGTAAATAAAATCTTGGTACTGACCTCCACACAGGGGTTCGAGGTCTAGGAAACCACTTTGGTCATGCAAAATCCTCTCTTAGGAGGAAATGATGACTTATGAGGAACCAGTCAGTGCAAATGAATCTAAAATTCTCCTTACAGATTTAATTGACTCTAAGTCAAAGACACAAAAGGAATTTTTGTATTGTTCTCTCAGTGTTTGTGTGTATGTATACATATATATTTGCCAATTAACATTTCTCTACATGTAAAATTGCGTGAGGTCATTTATGTTTAAGCACGTTGACCAACCACCACTCATAATTGTTGCCAAAAGCAGCTTTTAAAAAATAAAAAATTAGTCTCCTTTAGATGGCTTCAGGGAGCTCGGTGACCTAGTGGGTAACTCAAAGGCACACAGTTCAAATCCACCAGCTGCTTTATGCAAGAAAGATGGCATGCTCCTCCTATGTGATTTACAGCCTCTGAAAACACCCCGGAGGGTCAGCTATGAGTTGGTTCCAACTTGACAGCAGTGAGTTGTTATTGTTGTTAAATGACTTTTGTTTTTAAGCCAAAACCAAAAGCCTACTGCTGTTGTGTTGAGTTTGACTCAGAGAGACCCTCTATCAGGTCTGCAAAGCTGTAAATCTCACAAGAACAGAATTTCTTGTCTTTCTCTCTCAGAGTAGCTGGTAGATTCAAATGGCTGATTTTCCAGGGAGCAGCCCAACGCATAACACACTACACCACCAGGGCTCCTTTTCAAGAATCCAGAAATTATTGACAAGTTTTCCACTTGGCAATTAGATTAGTTATTATTAAGAACATGTAATTTGACGAGTTGCACTGCAATCCCAGAGGTGGGCAGTTCTAATCCACCAGATGCTCTGCTGGAGAAGGAGGGACAGTCTCCTCCTATACCGGTCAGATCTGATTTGACAGTACACACACACAAAAGCAATAATAAAAAAATTAAAAAAAGGAAGTTTGCTCAAATAGGAACTGAGTCACCCACACCAGTGACTGCTTGACGGCAGACTTTTGAGATTCAGGAATTTGAACATGGTTGAAGGATTTTTTCCAACCTTGCGCGTGTTAAGAGGTTAGCTCACCACAGTCAAAAGTTTTGGGAAATAATTCTGTTATCCCCTTGAAAACTAGATAATGTTAAGAATGATCAAGTCATCAGCAAAAGGTTTCATTGAAAGGTAAATGAGTATTTATGTGTGTATGTGTGTGTACACACACACACACACACACACACACACACACATATTTCTTTGCATTATACTCCAGCTGTTTGGAAAATCAAGCATTACTACTTTCCTAAGCAGTTACTACTCCTGTGAATTATTCTAATGGCCATGAAATTTCCAAGTATCTGTTACAAATGTTATGGGTGGTACATTTTAAAAAAATGATAACGATGCATGTTTTGGCACTGGTTGTTGTGTGTTTTTCAGATGTGACCGAGGTAGCTTTAGTTTGTTTTCTTTACCTTGCCACTTCCAGTCGTTCCTTACTCTTTGCCTATTCCATGAGTAGATAGAGATCTGTATTTACCTTTAGAGCAGTAAACCAAGTCATTTTGTTTTTAAGTTACAAAATAAGCGATTACAGTGTTAAATAGGATGTGGCTTTCTTTTTAATATTTTTTTTTTTTGCAGTTTTTAGTAAACAAAAAGAAAAAAGTTTTTTGGGGGCAAGGGGAGACCCACTCCATATCCTTGAGCGAAAAAAAGAGACGTGCCGAAATATTTCAGACCTCGGTTTTGGTGAGACTCCTAACAGCAATAACAGGGTAACCTTCTAACCTTGGGAGCAGTGTCTCCCCTGACTGCAGGCCCCTCTTCTGTAATTTCTCACAGTGGTAGTGGTTGTTGTTGTTGGGGGCCGCAGAGGTGGTTCTGACCCACAGAGACCCCGTGTCCAGCCGAGCAAAGGGCTCTTCGATCCGGCCCCGTCCTCGTTGCTGTTTGAGCTCACCTTGCAGCGACTGTGTGAACATCCATCCTCCAGAAGGCCTTCCTCTGTCGAGTGAGCGTCCGCGTTACCGAGCATGACATCTCTTCCCAGGGACTCACACACCCCCTCCCGCAAGTAATACGTCCAAAATACAGAGATGGAGTCTCACTGCATTTGCTTCTAAGGGACATTCCGATTGTACTTTTTCCGAGACAGATTCCTTTGTTCTTCTGGCCGTCCATGCTATATTCATTCAGTATTCCGGGGAGGGGATGGGAAGAAAACGAATAACCTTTCTAAATCAAATGGCATAATTACCTACAGGATTTGAGATTTGTTACAGCCTATTCTCTGAGCAGCTCCTTGTTCCACGGGGTAAAGAGGAAACACGGGTTACCATGTGTAGGCAGTAGAATTCTAATCCATCAGGAGGGTGACAAGAGGAAGGGAGCAGGATTAAGGTCAAGCCTTGGTAACATTAGAAATCACAAAGGCTGGCCTGGTCGTTAGCCGTGGACAAAGGCTGCCTTCCGACTTGGCACGGAGACTGCCAAATTACAGTGACTTCTGACTTGCTATGACCACAAGACTGTAGTTCTCCTAGTTTTTTTGTGAGTTTTTTTCGCTCCCCTTTATGTTTAAACCTGGGATGCTGTTAAGGGGGACCATTCTAAAGAAATAGGAGGCCTTGATTTCTTAGGAACAGCGAATGAACCACTTATGATTGAGTGTGCTAACCCTTATGTCTGACCGGAGAAGTCCTTCCCTCGGTGTTTCTGTACACATACTCCGCTGATATTTGGAGTTGGAAAACCAGAGTGCCCCCTTTGTAACAGACTTCACAGTGCATCAGGTCAATGGGCCATCGCAAGGGTCTTTGTCTGCCTTCTTGAAAGCAGGTGTCTGTTTAAGCAGGAGTGGTCAGGGGGCATCTCTTGCATACATCATTATCTTCAGTTTCCTGGATGCAGTCACTGACTCCTCTGCTTATATAAAACCCAACCCAACCCACAAGCCCATTACTGGAGTCAGTCTGAACTCATAGCCATCTGTGACAGAACAGTCCCCTGCCATCAGTCTGTTCTGCCTCACAGTGACCTGCAGGACCAAACCGAACTGCCCCTGGGGATTACAAGGCTGTAAATCTCTAGAGAACTCAATTGTGTCACCTTCTTCTCTTAGAGCACCTGATAGGTTCAAACCACCAACCTTTTGTTTAACAGCCACAACTTGACCCACTCCACCACCAGAGAAAAACTACCATGTTGGGTTTCTGAGATTTTGATCTTTTCAGAAGCAGACTGCTGCGTCCTTCTCCTATAGAGAACTGGCTTTGAACTTGGGACCTTTCCATTAGCAGCCGCAAACACACCCATGGTGCCACTGGGGCTCCTTAGTCACGTGAGGGAGGAGGAATGTTTGGTGTCACTCTTCCTTGCTGTGTATGACTGTAGGTTTTCCTCTTTTACGCTGAGGTCCGTGTGTGCTCAGTGCACCATTTCTTGGGAGCAATATGTGTATCCTTGGCAGTCAGGTCACTATTGTCACCAGAGGTGTGTCTCCAGAATGAGCCCCGCATTTTTCAGTGCCCCAAGGATTCGGGTTCAGTAGTGAATGGCAGCTGAATGAAGATGTCCTTCCAAGGTGAGTCGAAATACGTCTTCTCCATGGAATCACCACACATCAGAGTCTTCATCACCGAGTACAAGTACTTTCTCACCCCTGAATTTTCTGGTCTTAGCTCATCAAGAGGTATTCTTGCGCTGTTCTTGGATGTGAAAGCTCGAGTTTATGTCATCAGTAGCTTCTGTGTAAATAATTGAACACTTAAGTGTCATCAAAGATTCGCACATTACTACATGCATCATATTTGTTTTATTCCTTAATTCCTTTCAAAATCTGGTGGTATTTTGTTGGTTTAATTATTTTTTTAATATTATTTCCTGTATTGTGTTAAGATTATTAACCTTTTTGTTGTTTTGTTTTGTTTTTGCTTTAGGGGACACTTAACAAATCCACTAGTACAAGAAGCTTAAAATCCCTTGCCACTGAGAACAGTGAAACTGAGTTAGAAAGGATTTTGCGTCGCAGAAAAGTGACGGCAGAAGCAGATAGCAGTAGTAAGCCGGTTTGAATTCTCCCACCACCTTCCTCCTCCTCTTCTTCTCTGAATCCTCTTAAGTTTTTAAGTCCCTTTTTAAAGCACACACTTTTTTTTTTTATTACTAAAGTACTTTTTTTTTTAATGTGAATGAGAAGTATGGGTGGACCAAGGTCCTTAGGACCAGCTTCAAAGAACTGTTAATTGTTCTTGTTTGGTTTTGTTTATGTCTGCTGATTTATTTACTTGTAGGTGATTAGACTTTCCTAGATCTGATCTGTCTAGGTTCTGACAAGATGCCCCTGTGTCCAGACATCCGTCATGGCTTTGGCAAAATATCAGCATAGAGTACAGGCTCTGGTACCCCATGCGGGTCCTGGCTCTGCCATCTATCAGCTGCTTCCCTTCAGCCAATGACTCAACCTCTCTGTGACTCAGTTTCTTTATCTATGCATTGAAGATAATAAAATACATCTGCCTCATAGGATTATCGTATGGATTAAATGAGCCAATGTGTAAAAAGTCTTCGGTGCTGTGCCTGGCACAAAGCAAATACACAGTGAAGGGTCATGAGTGAGTAGTGGTGCTAGGAGTACTTACACATCAGTTACAGATGTAGGGAAGTTGACCTGACTCTTCAAATCCCTCTAGCTTCTTGTCTATGCCCATGAACCAAGTGAAGGGGACGTTCCAGCCCAGCCACAAACAGTAATGTCCCATCTGAGCAAGTCTTGGGCTCCCGGATTACATTTATGTCACAGTATACATGTATCAACCCACTGTTGTCAAGCGAATTCCTACTCCTCGTGATCTTAGGTGGAGTTCCTGAGGCTATAAATATTTTCGGGAGAAGACTGCCCATCTTTCTCAGCAGAGTGTGTAAGCACTCTGTACCCCCTGACCTCCTTAGACAGATTTTAAACTACTAGAATCTCCTCTGGACCTAACTTTGTAGGACTTCAGTTTTATTTTTATCAACTTTGTCATGGAAAATGGCAGAAATCACTGTTTCTGGCCAGGCAGGAGGCTGATTTTTTGAACAAACTGTTGAAAAATTAAAATTAGTAGCCGTAACTTCAGGGAGGCACCTTTTAGACCCACTTTACATAAACTCTTCTCTTCATTATTGAGTTAACTCTGTTCGCCAAAGAGTTGAAATCTGCAAAATGTTGAGTCATGTGAACTACTATTAAGGATCTGGGCCTCTGAGACTCATGGTCTCAATATCAAGTAAAGGAATGCCTTAAACAGTTCAGTCACCATCTTTAAATCAGCCAAACTTTTATCTTTAAAAGGTGCAGCCTCTGTTTTCTTCACATAATTTGGAGATTTTTGTATTTAGTTTGGTCTAGAAGTTATCTTGTTAAAATCCTACAAGGATTCTTTGCCCTTTAGAAAAGTAGCTGGCTCTCAGGACAGTTAAGGAGTGCCGTATCTGGTAGCTTACCGGTAAGGAATTGTGCTACCAACATGGAGGTCCGTGGTTTGAATCCTTCAGCTGCTCCATGGGAAAAAGATGGGCAATCTTCTCCTTGTGTGATTTACTGCATCTGAAAACCCGCTGGAGGATCAGTTATGGGTCGGTTCAGACTCAACAGTTTACAACAACAACATAAAATGCCAGAGATTTTTTTTTTTAAAAGATTGTTGTGGAAGCTTTTACTCACCCTCCATAATGAACCGTTCTCTTTGTAATTGACTCTGCACTTGAATTACCCTTTCATCTCATTTTACTCAAGCACATGCCCACCCACGCAGGCACCACTGCTGTCTGGGACTTTATGGATGCCATTTTTGCGCATTATCCCCTGCATTTGTATTTTCCCGCTGACTCTTTTTCCCTCCTCCAGAAGCATTCTTACTCATGAACTTGTTCAGAAAGATGCACTAAGTTTTACGGTTTTAATGGGAAAAGCTTGTCTTGTGGAAATTTCAACATTTCAAAGAGTGGTCAAAAGTCAGGATACATTTATAGACATAGTGAGAGCCTTTCATTTTAGTTATTATCTTCTAAGAGTATACACGTGTTGAGCGAGATGAAAATCAAAGAACCAATGAAATATGAGATGAGAAATAACAATTCCCGAACAGGGGAGGGGGCCACATACTAAGACAGTGATTCGTAATAGAGCATAAATTTTCTTTTGAACTTGTTAGTAGCCAAGGCAAAAATAAGTATTACCTACCTAAAAGAATACAGTTATTTTAGGTGATACATTTCTTAGCATCAAACTTAAAAAAAAAGTTGAACCATGAGAATCTTTGTACAAAGGTGGTAGAATGACAAAGGGCAGTAGAGAGGATTCTGTGAGAAACAAGAAGCAGTGGCAGCACAGTTGCACTGTGGAAAACCAATTACAGAGAAGAGGAGTTTGGTGGGTTTGTACGCCAGGTATATTTGTGTCTCTGAGACATGTCTTGTGCACACAGGGATTATGGGAAAGCTTTACCTGTGAGGTCACAAATGTAGAAAGGAAAGATGGGAAAGGGAGGAGCCTGAGGTTTGCAGAACTCAGATACCAGGATAGTGATTTGTCCTCCAAGGATCTAAGAACACATTCTTTAGAATTCTTCAGGACTTAACCCTGTTTCATTGCCTTCTGGCCAACTGAGCCTTCTAGTCAACCAGACTGACATTTCCAAGAGGAGCAGGTGTCTGTCTCTTGGAAATCAATGGGTAGCTCAGACAGGATCCAAGAATAATAATAATAATAATAATAATAATTGCCTTAGACATTACACATTCTTTTTCTTAATTCTTTCTTCCCACTAAACTCAGTGACTTCAGTTTCTGAGCAAGCCAGAGGGCTTGAGTATCCCATAAGGGATTGTCTCCTTACACAGACGAGCAGGTCAGGCTGTCTGGTGCAGCAGTCAGCAATGCCCCAGGGCAGGATAGAGCTGATTGGAAGCAAATCTTCAGCTTGTCTTCAGATTTATATCTTCAAGAAGGGTCTTTCTTGATTTTTCTGCCCTTTTCTCCTTATTCTCCTATCTTTATGCAGCCAGGGGCTTAACAGAGTTGAGAAGGAAAGTCAGACTTTTTTTTTCTAAATTTTAAATTTATTTTAATGAAAGTTTACAGAGCCTTTGGATTTCCATTCCTTCATTGTTGCCGTTTTCTTCCTGCCCACCCCTCCCCCCATTAGCTTTTCTTTTTTGCAAAGTAAAAAAAAAACAAACAACAAAACATTAAAAGAGAACTGTTCATACAGTCATTATTTCATGTTACTTGTAAGTTTTTCAAGTTGAAACTGGAACTTTATAAAAAAAAAAGAAACTGGAATTTTTTGTTTCTCCTATCGGCTATTTCTGTATTAGAAGCACTGGAACTAGAGGTACATGGTTCTAATCCACCAGATGCTCTGCTGGAGAAGGAGGAACAATCGCCTCCTGTATCAGTCAGATCTAATTTGACGGTACACACAAAAAAAAGTAATGAAATAAAATAAAAATTAAATAAGAAGAAGCACTGGAACTGTGGTTAAATGCACCATGAACTACTCTAGTGCTGCTTGAAATTCACGTTGTCCGTGTATTATGATTCACTGACTGTTGATGCATGTAATAAGTGCATTTGTTGCCACTGTGTGTCAGATGGTGACCAATGTTTTTACAAATTGAACAACAAAATAATCTTTTAAGAAAAAATAATAATTATTTCATTGTTATCCAATCCCTTCCCCTAAGTCCACTCTACTATGCTACCTTCGCTTTTTTAAGTCAGACTATAATTCATTGATATCATACATTTGTCTGCCTGGATAGTAGAGAGGAAATGAATAATGTCAGCGGCATACGCTCCTTCTGAGGGCTGGGTCTTCCCACAAGGGCATCCGGCAGCCCATCAGGCAGCGGGGTGATTCTGCAGCCCCTCTTTGGAGGGGTCGTCAAATCAGAATCACTGTGGAGTTGACCTGTTGTTGGACTGTTACAAGGATATCAGCACATTCACCCATAAAGTTCTGTTGTTTCATATTCACCATCAAGGATTCACATTTTGGACAGTCCTATTAGCACTTTGCATTAGAGGAGATAACGTGATGCTCCTTATGGGTAAAACAACCCCCAACTACTGACAGCTTTCAGGATTACCTTCCAGCTTCCTTTTCAGATGTTCTCAGCTCATCTGCCCGTTTGTGACTTGTTTCAGAAATCTCTTGTTTTAAAAAGGTTTCCTGCTGAAGTTTCAAGAAAGACTCAGATCCAGCTTTGAGGAAAACTGCCCAGGGTAGACTGTTTCTAAGTGATGATGGGGCGAGAATAGAAGTCCTGGGAGTACTTAGCTTCAGTGTCTAGATTTTCTGTAATGATATGCCAGTAATTTTAGTGACAGGCTCTATTCTAGTGTCCTAATCCCGTCCCTAAGAGGAGAAAAAATCTACAAGGTAAATAGCCAAATACTTTGCCACTTCATTTTTATAATCCTGTATCTGCATTTTGAGAGGGAATAAATCCACTTACTTCTCATTCACATTAAAATGAAAATGTCCATAAAAGCTGTTTATTGCTCAAGAAGGCTTCCTGAGCTTTTTGAGAGAGCCTTTTGACCTCTCTCTGTTTTCTGTTTTAAAATGAGGAGCTGAGTTTGGGGAAGAATTAACTCTTGAGAGGCTCCATGTTTCAAGTATGCTGCCAGACAGTCACTCTCTATCAGCTGAAAAGAGTTCCCACAGTTCCCATTGAACCAAGGACTCCGGCAGGTGAGAGGACCTCCGCCCAGGTTTTGTGGTCCCTTAAAGGTCTACCCACAATTCCTCAGCGTGGTCCCAGTGGCCTCAGAAGCCACCAGTACCACCCAAGCCGAACAAATGCCCAGCAGAGACATTTTTCAGCATGCTCCTGAAGTTTTAACAATCTTGGCCTTTTCACACCTGGAGGGACTTCTCTGCTAATCTGTTTTTCAATCCCTTCCTAATAAGCATTTCACAGAATTATTAAACTTGAGGTATGTGTTTGGTTTTAAGGTCCAACCGGGATATTAGCCACCTCAGAGTCCAAATCCATGCCAGTGTTGGGTTCTGTATCCAGTGTAACAAAAACAGCCTTGAACAAGAAAACTCTGGAGGCAGAATTCAACAGCCGGTTCCCCCCAACACCTGTGCCAGGTGAAGGGCCCCGTAAATTGGAAGGATGCACACGTCCCAAGGTTACGTTTCTGTAAGTAACGATGCCTCTTTATTAAGTAGTGTGTAGAAGAAATCTGTGATTGACTTACTTACGTGTTTCTTTGGCTTGCTTCTGTCCTCTTGCTAGTGAGAGATTGATTTGGTTAGGCAATTGAAATAGTCTCCTGTAGTCCTCTTCAATTGATGAGCAAACGATTAAGATCCCAGGCCCCTAGCCTAGAGGTCTCATTTAAATTCAAAGCAAAATACCTTGTGTAAAGGGAATTTCTTCCCCCTAACCTGGTTTTGATAGTTAGACTGTTTGTTTTGGTTTTGGGTTTTTGTGCACAGAGAATTGGCCTGGGCATTACTTACTGTTCATCGGAACACACTTGTTCTTTCAGGATCAGATATGTAAGCTCATGTCTTTAATGGTCTGTGAGCAGCACACTTGGAAGGGGACATTTATACAAGCTTTATTTTGTGGTCCTCAAGGCACAATATGCCTTCCCCTTGCTCCGTCTTGGGAGAGAAAGCACTTACCCCTGTGGAGGGTTATCTGGATGGAGTTGAATCTTCAGAATGGTACTTGGAGCGTCACAGAGTTAATCCTGCCCTTCACGGCGTGTCACTCAGATCTGGTAGAGGATCAGTTTGTTTTCTAACAATGGCAAGCTCTTTTTGAAATTAGTCTACAGCTTTCTTTGCTTTAGTTCTTTTGCCAGGACGTCAGCGAATTTGTCGCTTGAAGAAAAGGAAGAGGTGAGATAAATCAGCTCAGCTGAATATTGTAATCATGGTTAATTAAACCTCTGATTTCCTGTCCTCTGAATAGAGAAAAGGCCCTCTTTTCTGTAGCTCTTGCTTTCTTAGCTGAAAGGGTGAAACGTGGACAAACCAAGTTGAAATTTAATTTGGATCTATTTTTGCCAACTGGTATTTTCTTCCACTCTTACCTTTCTCTTGCCGCTACTATTAACTTTTTTTTCTCCCCTTCCTCTCCGGGGATGAATGGCCCTCACCGATACACAGTTTTATCTAATTTCATTGTGTTTAAAAGCACATTTTACCCTGCAGTCACATGTCTCTTTTCATGAGCTCCCTTTGAACAGTCCTAACAGAAAGATGATCTATATTCATTCCCCACCTTCCCCATTAAATTTGTTTAACACCTAATTTGACATCAGCAATCTGGTTACATTCGAACCAATATCTGTACACAAAAGCAGTTTGACTGAGACAAGTTCATTGTGGAGAAATGCTTCAGTGTGTGTGTATAGATTTCCACACCCCCCGCTTTCTATTTTTTTTTACACAAATAATCTTAATCAGAAAATACTGCAACTCCTTCCTCCTTTTATCTGCCTTTTATTCTCCAAAAGTGAGTGGAAATTACATCTCCAAGAAAGGAAATGAAATAATTGCAGCCCCAAGGTCTGCAAACTGTGTGTTGAATTGACAATGAAAAGGACCTATGTGTTGACAGATTGTTAGATTCCGTAAAGGTCTATGTAAAGCTCAATTTATTTCTCACCTTGCTTGTTCAGTGTCTGCTTAAGAGACACATTTCAATTTAATTTATCTACTTAAAGCACCAATACAAATACTGTGAGCTGCTGTATTAACTTTTAAACTTTGCAGCCTAATGCATGACTATTCAGGTCTTGGCATTCTTTAGCTGGGGTAACTAACGGGTGTGTTTTTGTATTGACAGTCATTTAGCAAATAAACGTACCTTTCGGAAAAAAACCCTCGTTCCTCAGTACAATTAGACCAGCCAAACGAGTCTGAGAAATTTATATGTGCACCTGGTAATTATCCACTTTCTAGATAGGCAGACGTCATTCACTTTTGTTTAAACCCAGCCTTGGCGTGATGACAGGAAATTGGAACATAATGTAGTTACAGAACAGCCTTGAAAGTAAAGACACGTGTTATTTCAGTAGGTTGGTTACTTGTCAGGATCCCTTGAAACCGACCTGCTGTTTTTGCGGTGAGGTGAGGTTGAGCTGACACCATGTGTACAGTGACCCCCTGTCCCATCCTGCACCACTGTCCCTGTCTCAGAATGCTGAGGTCTGTGATTGTCACCATTGTGTCAGTCCACCTCCTGAAGGTCCTCTCTGCTGACCCTCCATTCCTCTAGGCACAATGCCCTTTCCTTGGCACGGTCCCCTCCAGAGACCATGTCCCGGCTGGTGAGGGCTATTTTCAAGGCTGTTTCCCACCAGTCTTCACTGGTCAGTCCACCCTGGCTGTCCTCACCACAACCACGTGGTCTTACCTCACAGGCCTGAATTGGTAATGCATTTTGGAGTCAAGTCAGCAATTAAAAAGTGAAATGTTTCCTGTGATGCACCCTTTATTTTCATCTATGACAGCGCTGTTGTAGTGTGTCCAGTGAACGCGTCATCTCTGCTCTTGAGGCAAAGGTCAGGGAGGCCTCCAAATGCAGTGGCTTCTAATATCCTAGCTGTTGATGATGCACACATAGCACCTACCGCTCTGA